GGTAAAATGTCCGGCCAAATGAAGCACAAAGTCCGGCTTTTGTGATTTTAGACCTGGCAACCCTATCCCCAACCCGTCTGGCCAGCGTGCTGGGGAGTGTAGGCCAAATCCTTCATTTGTCTCTGGTTGTCGGCCGTTTGGTGTAGTGGTTCAGAACGGACTATTAAGCCGAGAGGTCCCGGGTTCGATTCCCAGCCGGGCAGAAATTGAAATGATGAATTTTAATTTCTGTGACGGGTCTGGGTGTTTTCTATGTATAATATGTATGTATTTACAAAAAAAAAGTATTTAAGTATGTTTATCCCGTCGTCTAGTACCCATAGTACAAGCTTTGCTTAGTTTGGGACTAAAGTCTGGTCCGTGAGCACGTAGAATTTTGTCCAATGACCCCTAGCTACCCATCCTTATCGCTCGCGCGTAATTATATTGCTATCGCGCTCGCCCACTCACTGCGGGTGCCAGTCGCACAGTCGCGACAGCAATATAATTACGCGCGAGCGATAAGGATGGGTAGCTAGGGGTCATTGGACAAAATTCTACGTGCTCACGGACCGGGCTTTAGAGGCGCAGTGTAAAATGTCCAAGGATATATTATTATTTATTAAATTAGAGAGGGTCGTACTCCTGCAGATGATGATGATGATTGATGATTAGAATTCCGGAAGTGCAATGGCCTAATAATTGATAACACACATGTAACAATTAATTGTTTTTGCATTGACTAACGCATTGCGAACTGCCATCCGGTCTTTCTATTATCTATAAATTACTTTACTCATTTTAATTTAGTTAAAACTAGCTTTCCGCCCGCGGCTTCGCCCGCGTGGAATTTTGTCTGTCACAGAAAAACAATATCGCGGCTCGCGCGCGTATTTGCTCACCGTTTAGACCTATTACCCTGGACTATGACAAACATTTTAAAACCAAAATCAGCTCAATCGGCCCAGCCATTCTCGAGTTTTAATCAGACTATAACGAACATCAATTCATTTTTATTTATACAGGGTGTTAGGTAAATGGGTATATGAGCCGACACTAGCCCATGTTAACATGGTCATATAAATGGTATGGTGAAGTCAGAAAATTGGTGTCTTCATTTTAATTATTTTAATTTTCATATAAATCGTATTTTATTTATATCATACAAATTTATTTTGTATGATATAATTAAAAAAATTAAAATGATGATAATTATCAAATTTCTGACTTCACCATACCATTTATATGCCTATGTTAACATGGGCTAGTGTCGGCTCATATACCCATTTACCTAACACCCTGTATAGATCTAGAATCAATTATTGTTTTACGACGATTGTGCAAACAATTGTTTTCGAGTGGCAATAAGTGCCTAGGCCTGGAAATTGGCCAATTATAAGGTGATAATAAACAAACTCGTTTTTAAGTAACGTAAGAAATAATTTAATTGCGAACTTAAACCAATAAATTCATTTATCTTATCTACGTAAGTAAGTGTAAAACTGAAAAAATAAACGATTGCTTCACGTAGGTATACTTACGTACGTTACGTATACTTCAAGTATACTTACCTATTTTACCATTTATTTCAGTTTATTTTATTACCTACCTACTTACATACTTCTTATGTAAGTAGGTAACTAATAAACTGAAAATATTTTCTAACATTTTCTCGCTAGTGTTTCATCTTCATGATTTCAACCTACTTTTTTTTTCTTCTATTTTTTTTCTCCCTTTGTCATCCATCCTGTGTATTTATTCATATGTTATTTACGTAATTATTTTATCTAAATTCATAATATCAACTTTAGACCGCCTTCTTTATTCTCAGTTTGGCCCTAAGGTTGACTGAAGGAAAATTCCGAAAGGTCCGACTTATGTACACTGTTCTATGTGTAAATAAATGAATAAAAGTAGAGTTACTTAGATTACAAAAGGTATAAGTATGTCTTAGCCATTGGAGCAGGAAAGGTCTCAAGTGGCGACCACGGGCCGGAAGACGTGGTGGACCGACGATCTGGCGAAACACTGGATGAGGGCAGCGCGGGAATGGTCATTTGGACATCCTTAGGGGAGGTCTTTGTCCAGCAGTGGACTTATGGTTGAAAGCTGAAACATAATTTTTAAAGGTCTCAAGTGGCGACTACGGGCCGGAAGACGTGATGGACCGACGATCTGGTGAAACACCTGGATGAGGGCATCGCAGGAATGGTCATTTGGACATCCTTAGGGGAGGTCTTTGTCCACGTGGACACTTATGGTAGAAAGTTGAAACATAATTTTTCAATAAGAGAGTCATTTTTACCTACAGCGAGACAGTTTCATTGCTAACTTTTAGGATAAGGCCCAGAACAGACGGTAAAACGCAACTGCAACGAAACTGCAACTTTCTGATGATTCTTATGAATGAAACTGAAAGTTTCAAACTGGTCGCGTCATGTGTGGTCTCTCAACGGACGCTATGGCAGAAACTTAGATGCAACTCAAAAGTAACTAGCAGTTGCAGTTTCGTTGCAGTTGCGTTTCACCGTCTGTTCTGGGCCTAACTTACCTACTAAGTATAACTTAAGTAATTTAAGCTTTTTCACAGTGGGTTTGCTAAAGAGTTAATGACGTAGGTAATATCACAGAATAATAATAATAAGTACTACGTAGAGTTTGGGCGATCAAATAAATTAGTTAGAAACGGTCTTTAACAAAAGGGATTAAACTAAAAACAGCTCTCTTATCAACAATCCTTGAATTTGATTGCAAAATCACAGATATTTTATCGAACAAAGGTAATATCAGTTGAATAGGATTTAATAAAGATATTTGTAAGTGTTTATCTAAGTGTTTATTTGTTTTATAGGTCCTTAAAACGTTTCTAGTGGACATGCAGTCTACAGTAGATAATACCCAGAACGAACAAACAGCTTGTACACACACAATATTTGTATTTTACGGGAATCGAACCCGTGGTCTCTGGCATATAATACGCGAACTCCGCATTGGGCCAAACTGCGCTGTCTAAAAACTTTTACTCCCGTATTCACAAACGATGCTTGCTTAAGTGAAGCGCCAAATCGAACGCACAGCGTTGAATAGAGCTCTGTGATTGGTTCGTGTGTCACCCTATGCGTCCACGCGCACTGTGAGACCCCATAGTAATGTTTGTGAATACGGGCGTAAGATATTATGTAAACTAACTAGGTACCTAGTCTTTCTTTCCCTTAAGAAGACATATTGTGCTAATAGGTGCGCAGTCAAAAGATGGCAGATTACATAAATTCTATGATAGGTTCGTGATAAAACTTTATGACGATATACTTAAAACACCGCGAAGTGATAATGGCGTAGAAACTCAGCAATATAACACTCAATTCAGCAATCCATACAAATGCACTTTCGATACGGTGATAAGAACGCAATAAGGCGGTGTACTCATTAGTGAATTCAATTTCAAATTAAAATTAACAGAATAAAACACATTTTTGGCCATGAAAAGGACAGCATAGTTTTTATCCCAAAATTACTAGAAATCTGTCTTTAAGGGAGTGAAAAGGGGGCTTCCAATCACTGGCATCTGTCTAAGCTCAAGCTTTAGTCAGAATGAGGGCTATTGTATTTGCCTTTTACCATTTTTGTGACCATTCTGTTCAAGGGAGGTTCTGTCAGGCTGTCACTCGCTATAGTGTCGCCAACTAGTGAGAGCTGAAGTGGTGAGAACTAGGTCTAGGACCAAGAATCTGAGGACTTAAGACCGATCGCATTTGCTCTCACCAGGAATGCCAGGATGGCGTGGCGTCATTGTAGAGTAAGGTCCTGTCAATCGCCATTGGTTTTGGTGTCAACTGTTAAATAAAGTTGAACCACCTAACTTTAACCGTAGGTACTTACCTATAACGATAACCGGTATTTTATGTATGGAGTTTGACAGAATTTTAAATTCAAATTCAAATATTTATTTGCACAATTTTGACCCGCATAAGCTATTATAGTATGTATCCCTCAGTGTGACCGCCGCCTAATCGAAGGGAGGGTGGCATGCGGCCGGCCTCGGATTCGAAAGCAAACGACCTTATAGCTTTTTAACACGGCACAAGGAACACATTCTATTCATCCGCGTGCATTATTGTGCCGCGAAGGTCGAAAGTCGAATGCACTTTTTAATTTGGCGCCAAAATGATTTTTCTTTCAGACGACTGAAAAAGGAGGGCGTTTTACTTATCGCAGCTTTACTTCTGCGGTCCTGTTTGGTAGGTACACCACATGCACAAAACAAGAAAGAAAGAAATAAACAATACTACAATTTAGGCGGTCTTATCACTTTTAGACTTAGAGCGATCTCTTCCAGGCAACCTATGGAGTTTAATTTATCACAACATATTATTTAAAGAGACAATGTTTTAGCAAAGATTGACGCGACATTTTTAAATGTAAATTAATAGATTCTTAAGCAAATTTTGACATCAATGTTAAAAGTGAACGGTTTTTTAGTTCGGAAGGATAGACAGAAACGTTTGATAATGCAAGTTAATTTATTTCTCATTATGTAGAGGATTTAAACAATAAAAAAAAATCAGCGTTATTTTTTTAACAAAATAAATTAAACTTTTACCTAGCAACGCCATCTAGTAGTGCTGTTCAAAACTAATTCATAAAATTCCGGATAAATGTAATTAATTAAAATAATTTTTAAACTGCATACAAATTGTTCCTTTTTGTAAAAAGAAAAGCCTAAATTAATAAAATATAATCTATTTATTTTATCAAGTATTTAAAAAAGTTAATCTAAAAATAGCTCCAAACAAGCGTTCAATAAACTTCACAACACATGCGCCCTCTTTCTGAATTGACATAGCTAAACAAAGTAGGTCATAGATTGCATACTAGAGCTAAAGGAAATGTGACTTCCTTTCTTGGTAGAGTTACAGTTGGAGATATTTCTTCTCTCGCTTTAGCTAGCACGTTTTGTATATCTCTATCTCTGTCTACATTCATTCTTGTAAAAAAAAGTTATATGGCGAACGAAGATTTGACATTTGGATCTATTCGCTTTGATACAAAAAATAAAATATCTCTAAAATGGGGCGATTTTATCGTAATACTGTGCTAAAGTTATGAGTAAAACACAATAAAAAATAGCAGTTCTTTAATTCCGTTGCATTAATGTGGATTCTGTGACGTTATTTGCCAAAAACGGCGAGAAAAATACATATTTCTACGCGACTACGTTTTCTCACATTTAACGTTGAAATGTTATGATAAAAACAATGTTTCATTCATAAAAAGTGATTTAATTCCAAAGTGAATCTCTTGACTGTGTCCATTACGTGTTTACTGTGTTAAATAACTGTATATTTGTGTGTAAAATGCGTACGTAGATCGACTGCCAGACATGGTTATCGCAGACCTATTTATATCGTAAATATTTATATTCCGCGGTGGTACTGTGGCTTTTAATGAGTTATAAGTGGTGCACATAAAGCTGTAATGTAGTTTTAGTGTGTTTATTTAGTGGTGATCTTAAGAGGATCTTATATGGCGGTCAATTTTTGATTGGACTGTGAACTTTGGTTTTCAAGTATCGCGGGTGGATCCTATGTTAAAATGGTTACGATGAACTCTTCAGAAAAGGCTGCTCAGAAGGCCTGTCAGCAAGGACCATCCAGGTATTTATTAATTTTATTATTAATTAAATTGTGCTAAATAAATTAATCACAACAAAGTACATTTTGGATAAAGGATAGTGCCAGTGTCTGGACCAAGTGTTGCCCAGAATCAATTGTGCATTTTGTTCCTCAGGCCTATATTAATGTGTAAACCGAAGTGCACTGAAATCTATCCCTGGAGTTAAGAGAAAAAAAGACTTGTTTTGAATTATTTACATACAAAAACAGTAAAGACTTTTTCTGTATTTCTTACAGAAAAACGGTACAATTTAGGTGGTCTTATCGCTTAAAGCGAATGCGATGATCGGTAGCTGTTTTGTTTATCTCTATGGTAGGTATGTCATGTCCAATTGTGTTAAAGAGGAAGTCCTATCATAATTATCATGTTTTGATAGGATATTACATGTTCGTTCCCGTTTATGTAGATCTACTCCTAGTTGACGAATAAAATGAAATCGGTAAACGTAAAGCTAGTTAAGTTACAATGAGGACTGAGCCAGGTCCATTTGCCTTTGGTGTACCTTTTTACTTAAATGTAAATTACAAGATTCAACCAATGATTCAACTTTCTGTTTCTATAAATTAATAGGTTCGCGACATGGTGCCCAGAATGCTGGCTGCATTTCTGCACTGAATGGCCAAACTGATTTTTGGGCCATATTTTTTATTTGTAAATATTTAGTCCATGTAGGTAGTTTATTTCAATGTGTAATATTTTAACTTTATCTATTTAATAATAAATCCAATATTAAAAAAAAAATTGGTTCGAAGGCAATCAATACATTTTTTATTTATTAATATTATTAATGTACTAGAATACTTTGTAATGTACTAGAAGAAAATGGAGGATTTGGCCTGCACTCCCCCCCACCTGATGTTCGGATATTTGTTCCTTAGTCACTTTTTAGAATAGAAATTAATAGAAATACCTTTATTTGACACGAAAACACAAATGAAAATGAACAAATAAAAGAAGAGAAAACGCAAAAAAAAAACACATTAAACAAACAACATTACATTAAACAATACATAAATCTCGTGCCAAAAAGGCCCCGCTCAGTATTAATCGAAACGTGCGTGTACGCATGTCTCGACACTGGTTTTCAGCGGGTGCCTCTGTGCCATGGTGTTTTTGTAACATTCACAGAAAGAGTGGTAGTCCTAGTCCTATTATAACTCTAATGGACAAATTTATAGACAGGCTTTTAATTTTAGTTAGTTAGCCTAAACAGTTTCTAGTTTGAAAAAGACACATGAAATGTCTCCTTTTAAATCAAAAGACCATTAAGTTTTGAAACTTTGAAACAAATATTTTCAGCCATTCTTTATAAGAATGTAATTATAACAGCTTGTCAGACTATGTTTTAATTACATTAGATACTTATTTACTTACGAAGTCAGAAGAATATAATTATTATAGTTATTTTCCCTGTTGCTATTTTCAGATAATATGAGGTAAAATCTGTAATTGCCAATAGAGTTGTGGTTTTAACAGATGTATGTAAAATTAACTAGCTCTTGCTTATTTGCCCATCGCCCGCAGAATCGGTTGTTCATACAAAGACAAATTAACCTTCTTTTTTAACACTTTGGTGAACAGTACAAGTTAAGAATTACTTGCCAAATGATTACTTATTCAAATACATTGCCTATGGATAATAGTGTCAACGCAAAATGAGTAAAAACTATGACGTCTATAGGCATTCTTTCGTATCATTCTTTACTACCTGAATGCTCGTAGACGTTACTGTCCATCAATGTAACTTCCGAACTGAAACTTCCTCAAGAATCTATCTTTGGCGGAAAAACGACACGGAAATCCGTTCAGTAGTGTTCGAGTATCAGACAGACAGACGCGGTTGTATAGAGAACAATAGTGTCTAGACAAACCTAAAAAGGATTTAGGACGCTATTTGGATCAAATATGTAATTGCTCAATAATGAATAATAAATAAATAAATAAATTATTATGTAGTGAAGATTAAAAAATAATTATATTACAACTTCTTCTTTTCGTGTCGACAACAAACCTACAGTGTCAGCCCAAAACTCCGCCACAAGAGTGGCGTTGTCAGTAGCACTCATCAAATCCTCCTGAGTGCAGTTGCTTGGGCACTCAGGGCATGACATCAGGTGCTTCATCGAACTATATTACAACTAGAACTAGTGTTAATTGTTGCCACAATAATTTGAGTGATGCAGATTGAATAATAATGTTCAAAATAAAGTTCCAAAGGCTGCAAAGGTAGTATTTTATGATTAATTACTAATAATTTTTGAAGCAAGACTAATATTAGCAGACTACAGATTTTTAATCGGCTATCGTATGTCCAACATGAATCTCTATCTTCTTTCTGAGGTGTCTGGAAGAGATCGCTGTCTATCGATATGGCCGCCTAAATTGTGCTATCGTATTTTCTTTCTTTTTCTTCTTTTCTTTATTTTATTTTTTTATTTTTTCTTTCTTTTCCATTTTTTCTTTCTTTCTTCTGTTCTTTCTTTTATTTCATTTCTTTTTTTCTTTATTTTTCTTTGTTTCTCCTCTTTTTATTCCTTATTTATTATGTATTTATTTATTTTTTTCAGGGACAACTCTAAGTATGTAAAAGAAGAGAAAGACAAAGACAAAAAGGACACAAAAGATGGCGCAATCTCCAACCTGCCGCCAAACGTGCAGGCTCTTATGTCCACCATACCCTCGCCGGAGGAATCGCCCAACTACCTCATTTACAAGAAGGTAATATCGACCTACAGACCTTGATATTAAAGTTGCAATTCCCGCTACTTGTTACATTTTATAGTGTTCAGTTTCGTATGACAAATGGACAACTAAATCCTGGTCCGTGAGCACGTAGAATTTTGTCCAATGACCCCAAGCTACCCATCCTTATCGCTCGCGCGTAATTATGTTGCTGTCGCGCTCGCACACTCACTGCGGGCGCCCGTCGCACAGTCGCGACAGCAATATAATTACGCGCGAGCCTTAAGGATGGGTAGCTTGGGGTCACTGGACAAAATTCTACGTGCTCACGGACCAGGCTTTACCACCATACCCTCGCCGGAGGAATCGCCCAAGAAGAATCGTACAAGAAGGTAATGTAGACCTACAGACCTTGGTGATAAAGTTGAAAATCCTTCTATTTGTAAGATGCTATAGTGATCAATTTGGTGGGTTCACCATACCCTCGCCGGAAGATTCGCCCAACTACCTCATTAATAAGAAGGTAATATCGACCTTCAGTCTGTGATATTAAAGTTGAAATTCCTGCTATTTATAAGATACCACAGCATACAGTTTGGTGTGATGTCTTCCATCGTTCCTTCACCCGAGGAGTCTCCCAAATACCGTGTGACGTCACAAAGTGCTACACTTTTAACCACGCCTTGACGTCACGGGCCTCTTCTTTAGAACTTTGGCGCTTCAATTTTTCTTAGTTTAAAAAAGTGGAAACGCATGTCGAGTATTTTTTGATAAGTTAACTGACGGACAAAGGACGTAGCTCACTTATCAACCGGAAAGGGATCGTAACCGTATCAACTCGGGGTCAGTATTCTTTGTATGAAACTCCATACTGCAATGCACACTTATCCGCACCGTAACGTAAACGCCTCGCCTCGCGGTTGACAGCGCGCGAAAGGCGATACGGTGTTAATCCCTTTCCGAGTTGATAAGTCTGCTATGATCTTAATTCAAACTCTTGCTTTTCTAAAGCCTGGTCTCCGAGCACGTAGAATTTTGTCCAATGACCCCAAGCTACCCATCCTTATCGCTCGCGCGTAATTATGTTGCTGTTGCGCTCGCACACTCACTGCGGGCGCCAGTCGCACAGTCGCGACAGCAATATAATTACGCGCGAGCGATAAGGATGGGTAGCTTGGGGTCATTGGACAAAATTCTACGTGCTCGGAGACCAGACTATACCCAGGAAATGTTACTCATTGTTACAAATAATGTCGTTTCAGATGGAAGCCATCATCGAGAAGATGCAAGATGAGAACACGGGGGTTCCCGTGAAGACGGTCAAAAGCTTCATGTCTAAAATACCATCGGTATGTAACATTGCACGAATCCATATTTGGAAGTAAGGAGTATCGGGACTGTTCCCACCTCGTTCCCACCGCTGCAACTCCTGTGTAGCCAGGATTTTGCAGTTCGAAAATACACACAACACTCCTCTGTTATACGACTTAAGCACAACTCCGTAGAAGTCGAAAACCTAGGAGTCTTAGAGTAGGTAGGCGCACACCGTTGATTTTTTGTCGGCCGATAGTTTAGTCGGGCAGTTGATCAGTATGGGCATGTATGGGAGTGCGCACACTACGCCGATTCAATTTGGCCGATTCTTCATACAAATTAAAATCGGGCACAACTATCGGCCAACTAAAAATCAACGGTGTGGTGCGCCTACTCTTAATGGGCAACCAATGAAGCCATTAAATCAATAAAATCGTTTGTAGGAATTATTTCCGATTTAAAATCTAATTCTACTGGCCTATAACTCAAAGGTGACTGACTGACATAGTGATCTATCAACGCACAGCCCAAACCACTGGACGGATCGGGCTGAAAGGCATGCAGGTGTTATGACGTAGGCATCCGCTAAGAAAGGATTTTACGAAACTCCACCCCTAAGGGGGTAAAACGGGATCCACGCGTACGAAGTCGCGGGCGGCCGCTAGCAAACAATAATACTGTAAAGTTTCATTAAAATCCGTTCTGTAGTTTTTGCGTGAAAGAGTAACAAACATGTTGACATTCAGTTATGCATAGAAACTTTCGCATCCTATCCTACTTAATATTATAAATGCGAAAGTTTGTATGGATGTCTCAATGTCTGGATGTTTGTTACTCTTTCACGCAAAAACTACTAAACGGATTTTAATGAAACTTTACAGTATTATTGTTTATAACCCAGATTAACATATTATAGGCTATAATATTTATGATGATCTGTGAAAAACTAAATTTCACGCGGGTGAAGCCGCGGGCAAAAGCTAGTTTATAATATTAGTAGGATTAGTAGGATTTCAAGTTTCTAAAGCCTGGTCCGTGAGCACGTAGAATTTTGTCTAATGACCCCAAGCTACCCATCCTTATCGCTCGCGCGTGATTATGTTGCTGTCGCGCTCGCACACTCACTGCGGGCGCCCGTCGCACAGTCGCGACAGCAATATAATTACGTGCGAGCGATAAGGATGGGTAGCTTGGGGTCATTGGACTAAATTCTACGTGCTCACGGACCAGGCTTTAAAATTTAGATGTTCTGTCCAGGTGTTCACCGGCGCGGACCTGGTCGCGTGGCTGTCCCGCTCACTGCGCTTACAAGATACCTGGGAAGCGTTGCACCTGGCACACCTGTTAGCAGCGCACGGATACCTGTTCCCGATCGACGACCACAACCTGACCGTGAAGAACGATAGCACGCACTACAGGTACGCGAGAGTATGTGAGGGTACGCGAGAGTATGTGAGAGTATGTGAGGGTATACGAGAGAACGTGATGGTACGTGAGAGTACGCGAGAGTACACGAAAGTACGCTGCAGTACGCGACAGAACGATACAGTACGCGTCTAAAGTTTAAGAATAAAGAAATTAGATTTGATTAGATTTGAAAAGCGACGCGACGCTAAGGAATGCGACCAATAGTGACGTAATTCATACGAGACGACCTAGGTCACCAAGGCGGTTATCACACTACGCCGCGCTCCGCCGCGGTACGCGGGACGACAGATTTATGCTGGATTTCTATATTCAATCCTAATCCAAATTACACGGATTTGGATTGTCAACAGTCAAATTTTAATATGTTTTTGGCCAAAATAACTGCGGTTTTTGATGTTTTTACATTTTTATATTGTTTATAAGACTATTTAAACAATATTAAAGTGTAAATGCATCGAACATTTTGGAAATATAATCTAAAACTGAATTCAATTTGACAGTTGTAATCCGGATTTGGACAAGGATTGAATATGGGAATCGGGCGTTAATCATTGTATGCAAGTACCTCAGTTTGTTTAGAAAACACGCGCGGCACTTCACACAGACAACGCGTCTGCGCGCGGGATTTTTTATAAGGCCTCAGCCTCGAGTTTAGCGGGCAGCGGGGCGGGAGCGGCGGCGGCGCGGGAGCGGCAGGATCTTATGCGTAAAATCAAATAGACCGGTTCTCGAAAACAGCGGCGCGGCAGCGGGGCGGCAGCGGGCAACGAGCGGGCAGCGGCGAGGGAGCGGGCAACGAGCGGGCAGCGCACTCCTTCTTTTGCCCACAATAAATCGAGCGTTAGGAATAAATTTGAATCGAAATAAAATTGTAGCCGTTGTTCAGACATTTCGTTTGCGAATAAAAACAAATATAAATAAATAAATCTTTGGACAATTTCACACAGCGCCAGCTAGCCCCAAAGTAAGCAACTCAATGCTTGTGTTATGGGTGCTAGCTTAACGGCTATACTACTTATATACTTTTTTTTTAATTAAATATATACATATTATACATATTTACACCCAGACCCGTCACAGAAATTAAAATTCATCATTTCAATTTCTGCCCGGGCGGGAATCGAACCCGGGACCTCTCGGCATAGTAGTCCGTTCTGAACCACTACACCAAACGGTCGACATCTCGACAACACAACCCCGAACACAACAGTTCGCCGCTAAAGCGCCGCGCGAGCTGCCCGCTTGTTTCGAGAACGGGTCTGCGTTGCCCGCCCAGCTCCCGCGCCGCCGCCGCTCCCGCGCCGCTGCCCGCTAAACTCGAGGCTGAGGCCTTAGAAATCACGCTGACCGCGGCGGAGCGCAGCGCAGTGTGATAATCGCCTAAATGGTAACCGCAAATAAATGAATGATCCCCTTAATTAAACATTTTCCCTTTATCTTTTCAGATTCCAAACACCATACTTCTGGCCGTCAAACCAATGGGAACCAGAGAACACTGATTATGGTACGGTATTGATGGTACAGAATACCTAATAGTAACAGTAGAAGGACTATAAAATACATTTAAAGAAATACATAGTATGTCTCGGTCGTCATCATCATCATCATCATTTCAGCCACAGACAGGACGTCCACTGCTGAAAATAGGCACACCCAGCACTCATGAAACGGCATTTCTCACACATGGCCTCTAGACTGTACAACAAAATACATGCATCAAATAAAGACATTACACAACTTGTTTCGGTAACGTTTAAAAAACTTATTATAAAATGGATGGAACAATATACGTACGAGACTTTAGAAAAGTTACTCCAGAAAATTATTAGTTTCTCTTAGCACACTTATTCACTTACACACAAAATCACACTCACACTATCACACACTTACATTTTTGTTTTGTTTTTTTATTAAAATAAGACAAACTTCACTGTAGACACTGATTTAGTCCATGTTTTTGAGGAGGAGCCTGACTCTCGTTACACAGGTTAACCTTATACGAGAGCGGCACATACATAATTTTGTAATTGTAAAGTGTTTATTTAATAAAAGTATTTTCATTTTCATTTTCAGCTGTGTACTTGTGCAAGCGTACGATGCAGAACAAAGCCCGCTTAGAACTTGCCGACTACGAAGCGGAGTCACTAGCGCGCCTTCAGAAGATGTTCAGTCGCAAGTGGGAGTTCATATTCATGCAGGCTGAAGCTCAAAGCAAGGTACAATCTAGGGTACACAATGTAGAATAAATAGCACTGGTGCTAATAAATGCACCTAGCTGTGTACTAAAGCCCGGTCTGTGAGCACGTAGAATTTTGTCCAATGACCCCAAGCTACCCATCCTTATCGCTCGCGCGTAATTATATTGCTGTCGCGACTGTGCGACGGGCGCCCGCAGTGAGTGTGCGAGCGCGACAGCAACATAATTACGCGCGAGTGATAAGGATAGGTAGCTTGGGGTCATTGGACAAAATTCTACGTGCTCACAGACCGGGCTTTAGTGCGAGTTAACGATCCAGGTACTCGCGAGAGTACACTTAGTAGAGTACCTGTGCAGAAAAAGGTATGGACAAAGAAATATGAAGCGGTATACCTGTGTGAGTGAACAATTCAGAACAAGGTACTTCTTACTAATGGTGGGTACATTTGGTGGTGTACCTGAGCAGAATGAGGAACTTGCACAGTGTACCTGTGCAATATCAATCAATAAATACGACATGATGTGTTTATTGATTATGCTAATAGCGCTATTTTCGCCGAATTTTGCGTAATATTATTACAATATAGTTACAGCGCGTACCAAGCACCGCTCCACTACAGGTACCTCTCAGTTATGCGCTATGCCTGTAGTATTTAAAGTAAATAATATTTGTTTCAGGTGGACAAGAAGCGGGATAAACTGGAGAGAAAAGTTCTGGACAGCCAGGAGAGAGCCTTCTGGGACGTGCACCGACCTATGGTATGATTCTTTTTCTCTGTCCCTCACTAATACACCTTTTGTATAAATCATCGTTCTTTTTCTTTTCATTAATTCTGTAGGTAGGGTATCCGCCACACAGCGTTCTGTAAGCCTAGGATGCACGCCGCGATAAGCGTTTATCACGCCGTTTTATCGAATTCACGCGATAAGCCCATACATTTGTCGTCTAAAATCATCGATAACATTTTATCACGGGCGCATCTTAGCCCGGCAGAACGTTCTGTTATAAATGTATCCTTGGAAATTTTTAAACTGCGCCATCTAGTCCCAAATTTTAGGCGTTAGCCACTAGCTGTTGACGAAAGATGGCCTCCTCTGTGGTCTAGCTAGTGGTAAGACCACCTAAGCTGCTTCAGACGCAGAGGTCCCGGGTTCGATTTCCAGTGGGGGCAGATTTTTCTGTTCGGTTTGGTTGGTGATAGAGCTAGTACTAAGTCCGCCTGGCTAGCTACCACCACCTTACCTAAGTCTGTCGCCATAACAACAATGTTAACAGCATTGTTGTGTTCCGGCAGTTAGAGGTAAGATAGCCAGTTCCTCCGTGGTTGAGGATTCCGGGTGAAGCTCGCTTCCACCTTCGGCCTGATCATCATTTACCATCAGGTGAGATACAGGCCAAGAGTTGTGGATAAAAAAAAAGATATTTTTTACAGTTTATTTATGAAAATAATAACAAAATTATTTTCTCTTGTGACAGCAAACAACCTGTTGTCATGACATTTCTGTTTAGTGTGAGTTTACACCAAACGTCCTCACAAGTGATCGCGTTAAAAAATTGTATATAAATTTTAGTTCTTGAACGTTTCCGCTAGGGGCGCTGTAAAATCCGTCATACATTTAATGTCATTTGATGTAAACTCACACTAGGCCCCCTGTTTAGTGCGAGTTCACACCAAACGTCATCGTTAGCGACTGCGTATAAAAGTGCCATGAAGACAGATTGTACAGCGTCCCTAGCGGAAATGTTTAAGAATTAAAATCTTATTCGCTAGCGACTACGTTCAATCACAGAATAATAATAAGTACTACGTACAGAAGTTTTACTTCGCGAAGGTATTTAAAAAAATGTATGCTCAATGTCATTAACAATATGGTGTAATTTAGCCTGTCTCAAGAGTCAAGCACCATTTTGTTGACAAACGTCAGTGATCGGCACTGCGCCGAAGCTATAGGGCTGACTTCGGTAAAATGATGAGACGTGAGGTGCCAAACTGCGGAAAATGGCGGAGGAAATACATGATTTAGCATGAATTATCATGAATAATACTAACTACTTATTTACCTCTCAGTGTCTTGAGGCAACTTAAAAAAGTACATTCTGTGTTTTCATTATTATTTAGGCAGTTAAATACTGCACAGTATTTAGTACACCATTTTCTTTATTTTCTTCCATCATACACAATAATACGCGTGCGTGAGTCAATGTTCGCTCGTATGTGAGGCCTTGTCGAATAGTATCCTGTAGGGGGCCATCGTGCGTGTTTTGTTTTCGATGTAAACTCGCGGAGATGAATAGGCCTGGGTCAATGCACTATGCACACTATACCAATGTGAATGTTTGTTAAACTCGGTAGTTGTCGAAATAAGGAATTAAAGTTCTGATTGTTATTTCCAGCCCGGCTGCGTTAATACAACTGAGCTGGATCCACGTAAACTGTCTCGCATCAACGCTCTGAAAGCTAAGCGGCTGCGGCAGGCACAAGAACTCATCCTGCAACATAACCTTAAGGTAACTTATGGAACGTAGCCTTAAGGAACAAGGTTGCCCAGGTACAAGTGACCGCACGAAACGCCTGGCTAGCTACCACCATCTTACCTAACTACCTAAGTCTGTCGCCATAACAACAATGTTAACAGCATTGAGTTTGTTCCGGCGTTTCTTCTCAGCACTTGCCATATGTTTGTCTCGAAGCGCTGGTAGGGCCCAAAAGATAAGGAGACATGTAAAGTGCCCCATAAGGGCTACCTTTTTTTATTTACTATATTTTGACGTTCATAAGTGCCACCAGTGGTCTAAATTGAATAAAATATTTTTGATTTTGATTTGATTTTGTTGTGTTCCGGCAGTTAGAGGTAAGATAGCCAGTTCCTCCGTGGTTGAGGATTCCGGGTGAAGCTCGCTTCCACCTTAGGCCTGATCGTCACTTACCATCAGGCGAGATACATGCCAAGAGCTTCCTCGTTGTGGATAAAAAAAATCTAAATCATCATTTCAGTTAAATGACGTCCACTGCTGAACATAGGCCTCCCCCAATGACTTCCATAATGAACGGTTGGTAGCGGCCTGCATCCAGTGCCTTCTTGCTACCTTTATGAGGACGTTGGTCCACTTTGTGGGTGGACGTTCCAATACTATAAAATATTAAGAAAATTCCTTAAAACATTGTATTATTTTTCAAGTTTCTATGTAAAAGGTGGTTAGAAAAAGTAATTAAAGCCCGGTCCGTGAGCACGTAGAATTTTGTTCAATGACCCCAAGCTACCCATCCTTATCGCTCGCGCGTAATTATATTGCTGTCGCGACTGTGCGACGGGCGCCCGCAGTGAGTGTGCGAGCGCGACAGCAACATAATTACGCGCGAGCGATAAGGATGGGTAGCTTGAGGTCATTAGACATAATTATACGTGCCCGCAGACCAGACTATATCATTGAATAAGTACAAAAGAAAACAGTGTAAAATTATAAAGTTTATTATGTTTCTTTCCAGAACAATCCAATCGTGACAATAACCAATGCTCAAGAAAGCGAAGAACAGATACAGAAAAAGAACGAAAATAATTCAGTCAAAGAAAATGGTGAGTGACCTTCTTCTATCTTACTTCTTTAAGTAAGATAGAATCTAACATCTTTATGTTATAGTTCATTCAAGTTATGATGGTGATTTAGACAGATAAAACGTTTCTTTTTATGATTCTAACTTTCTACGAATAAAAATATTGAGTTGTAAAAATCAATTACTTTTGTGTGTTTTCATCCTTCCAAAATATCAATCTCTAATCTTTCTCAATTAACCTAAACAAGAATTTCTATTTATTTATTAGTTTATTATTTAGAAAAAAATGTGAAAAAATATTAAATGAATTGCTTCTGCGTTAGTCGGAACTTTTGCTCATAGGGATGGGACATAAACAATCGCTATAAATCAGTAATCGGCATGGTGGTCATCTTACCATCGAATCACGATTATTATCTCAGGCAGGTCAAAGCTAAGTCAGTACGTGTGCGTACGCCTTTGATGACGGTTTTGTTTTATGCGATTTCTCCACGTATTGTTTGTTATTGTTATTTTGATGTTTTATTGAATAAAATGCATATATTTAATTCTTTGTGATTTATTTTATACCACTAAGAATATTCACGTTTATTCCATTTCCAGATAGTTCAAATTCATAGATATAATTTTGATCAAGATTTAAAATCCAACAAATAAAAGGCGATTAGATGTCTATAGAAAATATTCTCGATTCTAAAAAATATCGATTAGGTTTATAAGGAGCGCCTCACTAAATAGAACTGTCACAATCACCATCTTACGCTGAATATACTATAGTTCATCATCATCAGGTCGTTTGCGGGACTATTCCCACCTCTCGTTCCCACCTGCAACTCCTGTGTAGCCAGGATCTACAGCTTGACCGCCATCCAACCAGTGCAGGTCAAGTTTGTCCCGGGGGAAAGCTAAATTGTCAGGTCATTTATTCTCCACTACATCAGCATGAAGGGTGCGTTTTATAACCCAAAGGAAGAACGTGACTAAGATTTCTTTCGCCACTTCTTCTCACCACCAGCCCATATGTTGTCCCCAAGGTATGGTAGGCAAACTACATTGGGTGAGACGTGTCGTGTATGAGTGCCGTGAAGGGCATACATTGATAAGAATTTGATATTGAAATAAAGTTGGCCATTTTGTAAAAAAAATAAAATTAAAGATTTATATTTTAATAACTAAATACATTTATTTAACCGTCTCCTTTATAGTCGATTAAGAAATAACATTTTTATCGTAATTCCTACAGGAGAGACATCCCAGCCAGACGCATCCGCAGCGCCCGAAGCGGAAGCGAAGCAGAAGGGAAGCATCGAGCAGCAGATCGAAGCGGCGCGCAGGCAAATCGCCGTGCTCAAAGCGCGCATCGAGAGACGAAACGTACGCGTCAGCAAGGTGGCTGAGATGTAAGTGCCAGAATTACCCCCTTGCCAGAATGTCCTCCCTTCCCCATGCCAGAATCTTCCCATACCGGCGTTTCCCCTTGCCAGAATCTTCCCATATCATCATCTGTCCGTGCCAGAATGCCCTCCTCTTGCCAGAATCTCCCCCTGTCATTGCCAGAATCTCCCCCTGTCATTGCCAGAATCTCCCCCTGTCATTGCCAGAATCTCCCTCTGCCATTGCCAGAATCTCCCTCTGCCATTGCCAGAATCTCCCTCTGCCATTGCCAGAATCTCCCTCTGCCATTGCCAGAATGTCCCCCCCAAGCCAGAATGGCCTACTCTCGCTAGGATGACCCTGCACCAGCAGATCGAAGCGGCGCGCAGGCAGATTGCCGTGCTGAAAGCGCGCATCGAGAGACGAAACGTACGCGTCAGCAAGGTTGCTGAAATGTAAGTGCCAGAATTACCCCCTTGTCATTGCCAGAATGTCCCCGAGGACAATTTATGCTCCCTCCTTGCCAGAATGTCTTTCTCTTCTTGCCATAATGTCTCCCTGCCCTTGCCTGAATGTCCCCCCAGGCAAAAATGCATCCTCTTGCCAGAATTCCCCCTCGCTGGAATGTCTTCTAGCTGCAATCCGTCCCAAGGTTGCAGAGATGTAAGTGCCAGAATTTCCCCTTGCCAGAATGCCCCCCCCTTTTCCAGAATTTCCCCTTCGCCGGGATGCCCACTAACTACAATCCGCCCCAAGCTAGAAGAGCAAGAACAAGAGCAAACAAGCAAGTGAACGAATGAACTGAGATCGGATTTGCCAGAATTCCCCCTTGCCAGAATGTCTTTCTCCCCCTTGCCAGAATGTCTTTCTCCCCCTTGTCAGAATGTCTCCCTCCCCTTGCTAGAATGTCTTTCTCCCCTTGCCAGAATGTCTTCCTCCCCTTGCCAGAATGTCCCCTCCCCTTTGCCAGAATTTCTCCCTACCCCTTGCCAGAATCTATCCGTGCCATTGTCTCCCCCTGCCAAAATGTCCTCCTCTTACCAAAATGTTCCCTTGCCATTGCCAGAATGTCCTCTCAGGCCTTACCCAGAATAGCCTACCTTCGCTAGAATGGCCCAGTGATTCGTGATCGCCGTGCTCAAAGCGAGCATAGAGAGACGGAACGTACGCGTTAGCAAGGTGGCTGAGTTGTAAGTGAACGAATGAACTGAGATCGGATTTGCCAGAATTCCCCCTTGCCTCTCCTTGCCAGAATGTCTCCTTTCCCTTGCCAGAATGTCTCTCTCTCCTTGCCAGAATGTCTATTCTTGCCAGAATGCCTCCCTCCCCTTGCCAGAATCTATCCGTGCCAGCGTCTCCCCTGCCAAAAAGTCCTCTTGCCAGTGTCCCCTTGCCATTGCCAGAATGCCTCCCTCTCACTGGACTGTCCCCTAGACAATCCGCCCTAAGCTAGAAGCGGCGCGCAGGCAGATCGCCGTGCTCAAGGCGCGCATCGAGAGACGAAACGTGCGCGTTAGCAAGGTGGCTGAAATGTAAGTGCCAGAATTACCCCCTTGTCATTGCCAGAATGTCCCCGAGGACAATTTCCCCTTGCCAGAATGCTCCCTCCTTGCCAGAATGTCTTTCTCTTCTTGCCAGAATGTCTACCTGCCCTTGCCTGAATGTCCCCCCAGGCAAAAATGTATCCTCTTGCCAGAATTCCCCCCTCGCTGGAATGTCTTCTAGCTGCAATCCGTCCCAAGGTTGCAGAGATGTAAGTGCCAGAATTACCCCTTTGCCAGAATATCCTTTTGTCATTGCTAGTCCCCCCCAGGACAGAATTTCCCCTTGCCAGAATGCCCCCCCCCCTTTTCCAGAATTTCCCCTTCGCCGGGATGCCATTACCTACAATCCGCCCCAAGCTAGAAGAGCAAGAACAAGANCCTTGCCAGAATGCCCCCCCCCCTTTTCCAGAATTTCCCCTTCGCCGGGATGCCATTACCTACAATCCGCCCCAAGCTAGAAGAGCAAGAACAAGAGCAAACAAGCAAGTGAACGAATGAACTGAGATCGGATTTGCCAGAATTCCCCCTTGCCAGAATGTCTTTCTCCCCCTTGTCAGAATATCTCCCTCCCCTTGCCAGAATGTCTCCCTCCCCTTGCCTGAATGTCTCCCTCCCCTTGCCAGAATCTATCCGTGCCAGCGTCTCCCCTGCTAAAATGTCCTCTTGCCAGAGTGTCCCCTTGCCATTGCCAGAATGGCCCCCTATCATTGGAATGTCCTTTGGCTACAATCCGCCCTAAGATAGAAGCGGCGCGCAGGCAGATCGCCGTGCTCAAAGCGCGCATCGAGAGACGGAACGTGCGCGTTAGCAAAGTGGCAGAGATGTAAGTGCCAGAATTACCCCCTTGCCATTGCCAGGACAGAACTCCCCTTTGCCAGAATCTTCCTATTCTAGCGTCTCCCCTTGCCAGAATGCCCTATCTCTTTGCTAGAATCTTTCCGTGCCAGCGTCTCCCCTGCCAAAATGTCCTCCTCTTGCGACAATCTATCCGTGCCAGCGTTTCCCCTGCCAAAAAGTCCTCTTGCCAGTGTCCCCTTGCCATTGCCAGAATACCTCCATCTCACCGGAATGCCCCCTAGCTAGAATCCACCCCAAGCTAGAATGCCTCCCTTGTCAAAATGTCCCCCTAAGCTAGAATGCCTCCCTCGCCAAAATGTCCCCTAAGATAGAATGTCTCCCGCGGTCAAAGAAAATGCCAGTTTCCCTTTGCCAGAATGCCTTCACCTTGCCAAAATATCCTACCCTTCCTATATCAGCGTCTCTCCTTGCCAGAATCTTCCTATGTCAGTGTCTCCCCTTACCAGAATGTCCTCTTGCAAGAGTCTTCCCTTGCCATTGTCAGAATATCCTCTCAGGCCTTACACAGAATAGCCTACCTTCGCTAGAATGGCCCAGTGATTAGATAGAGGCGGCGCGTAGGCAGATCGCCGTGCTCAAGGCGCGCATCGAGAGACGGAACGTACGCGTCAGCAAGGTTGCTGAGATGTAAGTGCCAGAATTACCCCCTTGCCAGAATGTCCTCGCCTTGCCAGAATGTCCTCCCCTTGCCATAATGTCCTCCCCTTGCCATAATGTCCTCCCCTTGCCATAATGTCCTCCCCTTGCCAGAATCTTCTTATGCCAGTGTCTATCCAGGCCAGAATGTCCCCTAAGCTAGAATGTCTCCCGGGGTCGAAATACCAGTTTCCCTTTGCCAGAATGCTACAACAAGGTGAAGTTGTCAAAAGGTCCTACCCTTGCCAGAATATTTCCATATCAGCGTCTCTCCTTGCCAAAATCTTCCTATGCCAGCGTCTTCCTTGCCAGAATACCCTCTTCTTGCCTGAGTCTCCCCTTGCCATTGCCAGAATGTCCTCTCAGGCCTTACCCAGAATAGCCTACCTTCGCTAGAATGGCCCAGTGATTCGTGATCGCCGTTGCTGAGATTTAAGTGCCAGAATTACCCCTTGCCATTGCCAGGACAGAATTCCCCTTTGCCAGAATCTTCCTATGCCAGCGTCTCCCCTTGCCAGAATGCCCCTCTTCTTGCCAGAATCTTACCATGTCAGTCTCTCCCCTTACCAGAATGTCCTCTTGCAAGAGTGTCCCCTTGCCTTTGCCAGAATTGCCCATGGCCTCTCCTTGCCAGAATGTCTCCCTCCCCTTGCCAGAATGTCTCCCTCCCCTTGCCAGAATGTCTCCCTCCCCTTGCCAGAATGTCTCCCTCCCCTTGCCAGAATGTCTCCCTCCCCTTGCCAGAATGTCTCCCTCCCCTTGCCAGAATGTCTCCCTCCCCTTGCCAGAACGCCCTCTTCTTGCCAGAGTCTCCCCTTGCCATTGCCAGAATGTCCCCCCAAGCCAGAATGGCCTACTCTTGCAAAGATGGCCCTGCACCAGTAGATAGAAGCGGCGCGCAGGCAGATAGCATTGAGACGGAACGTACGCAAACGTACGATGAAAATGCCATTTTTCCTTTGCTAGATTGTCCCCTGGCCTGTATCCCCCTTTGCCAATTCTAGGGCCACTATGTCTGCCGGAATGCCCTCTTCTTGCCAAAATGTCCCCTGGGCCAGAAGAGAGTGAGTGAGTGAATGGGTGAAGTGTAAATGAACAGAACAGAGCAGGCAAATGGAGTTGCCTTATTTCGCAATATGTCAAATGATTATGTGAATGAATTATTCGAAAAGTATTTTTATATATAATAATATATATATAATAAATCTTTGGACAATAATAAATTTTTAAAACGCTATACCACCATTGATGCAGTACAATCCTCTGACATCACTTGTTTTATTACTATTTTACAATTTCCCTCAGGTTTATGTTTATTGATTTAACCGCTGCTCAGATGGTGGTCACTAAGATGTAATTATGTCGAATGTGTGAATGTATGAATGATCCAAAGAACTGGTAGGTAACAGATAATAACGGGACAGGTCTTCTTAAAGGTAAAGTTTCTCCCTCGCGTATCCCCTATAAATTTTAAGTGCTTGCTTCATTAATGACCTAATTAATATTTCCTACAGGTTTATATCCTACTGCGAGCAGTATGCCGAATACGACGCGTTCCTGACACCGCCCGAGTGGCCCAACCCGTGGGTATCTGATACAACAGAGCTTTGGGACCAGGAGAAACAGTGGTAAGTCATCATCGTATCTTGTTTCGATATATCGTAAATCGATTGTATCAATCAAAACTGTAGTTAATAGCCAAGAAAATATCGAAACGAACATTCGTGCCTCAATACTATGGTCTAGTCCAGTCTTTCCCAAAGTGGGCGATAACGCCCCCTTGTGGGCGCAGCAGGCTTAAAGGGGGGCGGTAAGAGACCCAGAAAAAAAATCGGGACGTTGTGTAGAGGCTTGGGAGGCGTCATCTACTAGGAAGACTCTTAGACATCGACTGAGCTCGACTCTTGACTACAAAAATAGGGGGCGCTAAAAATAATTTATTCTCTAAGTGGGCAGTAGACTAAATAAGTTTGGGAACCACTGGTCTAGTCGTATGAACACTCGGTTTAGACCCAGAGAACTCGTTTTGCAGTGAGGGTTAAATTTTCTGCTCGTTTAGGTAAATCTTACCTAAATCTGTCGCCATAACAACAGTGTTAACAGTTTTGTTGTGTTCTGGCAGTTAGGGAGCTTTCAATTTAGACGATTCGTGTCGGGACATTGTCGTGCGTTTGCAGTAGGCCTAAGATGCGCCCCGCGATAAGCGGTTATCACGCCATTTTATCGATTTTGCCCATACATTTTGACGTCGATAAAAGTTATCACGCTGCGCATCTTAGGCCTACAGGACCGCACACAGTAAATTGTATGACAACTGCGTCGGAATAAAATTGACTATTAGCAATAGTTAGTGTGCGGTCTGGCAAACACGCACGAAGCCGAAATTTTTATTTATTATTTTAATTTTTTTTTTGCTATTGCCGGCTGGCGCTGTTTTTTCGACAGGCGCCCCCATTTATTATTGTTTGATTTGGATTTATTTCATAATTTTTATTCCTAAACCGACTAAACACGCCCCCTATTGCGCGTCCTTATGGCCAGCAGATGTCACAGTGAGCTAGGTCAGCTCACTGTGACATCAGACTGTAGCTCGCCTATAACCTGTCTGACACTGTCTGATTAAACCGTCTCGGCCACAGGTCTCGACCAGAAGGGCGCGCAACCCTCATCCATCACGCATTGGTTAGGTTAAAGAACATTTATTTCTCACTAGCTGACCCGGCGAACTTTGTTCCGCCTTAATGGCAATAAATAAGCAGACTTTTTTTTTTCATTTCGAACGGGATAAAAAGTATCCTATGTCCTTCTCCTGGCTCTAAACTACCTCCCTGACAATTTTCAGCTAAATCGGTTCAGCCGTTCTTGAGTTATAAGTGGAGTAACTAACACGACTTTCTTTTATATATACACCACTAAATTTTTATCACCCAAAAAATTTTAACAGGTTATGTTAGAAATGTGTGAAAAATTTAAAGCAAAAGAAAAATAAATGTTTTTCGTAAAGTTAATTTTTTTATTACATTTTCTTTAGTCCATATTTTACGCGTCACAGCTGGGTCACTCCGCTGCTCGCTAGACCCCTCGACCACGCTTCCAGTGTTATTATTACATACATAGCTAATTTAGATCATTTTGAATTCTAATAAGTGTTACATTATCGTAAGTAAATAGTGCTAGCGACGCGTGTGTCAATAAATTACCAATTTTAGGAGGATATTTTGAGTCACTTTATTTTACTTTTTTTTTGCACAAATGGGATCAGTACCAATAACTCATTACACAGAATTTTTTTTTCGGTGATTAAAATTTAGTGGTGTATACTCGTAAGTTGATCAATTTTCTAGGAAGTTGATCAACTCTCGGAAAATAAAAACTGCAGTTGAAATGTACTATTTAACGCATCGAATTTTAGCTAATTGGTCAACTTACAGTACCTAGCCGTAATTTAATAATTAACTATATTGCTACAAGTAAAATCATCCACAAATGGGCCAATCGTTGCCCAGTGTACTATTTGACGGTACACTGTTATCCGTCACTTAATACACTTTTCTCTGATTGGTCGACAGACACTTAGATTATGTTGTTTTAATATTTACATTTTAGAGATAGGGATATTAAAGTTCGTTTATGCTATATAGTTAAATAAATAAAAAATGTTTAAAAAAATATATTGGAGCTCAAAGTTTTATTATTGTAAGTTATATTAATAATAAGTAAGTTTGTTTATTTCTACCGCTACAGACTCCATTTCACTCATTATAAATAAAATGACGCGTTATAATGAGAATTATTACTAGAGATGAAACGGATATCCGGTAACTATCCGGTAGGCCGGATATCCGGCCTAAATTTACTATCCGGCCGGATACCGGATAGTAACTCACTATCCGGCCGGATACCGGATATTAAAAAACTCCGACAATTTCCTATTAATAAAATGAAATGTATTAATCTTTGAGGTAAATGTCGATAAAATGGCTTATAATAATGACGACTTTTATTTAAAGTCCAAAAAGTTACAAAAAAGCCATATTAAAGCCTTTCAAAAACTAATTTCTTTTTCTAGGCTATTCACTCTAATGACGAATACATAAATAGTAAATATCTGTTAATGTCGAAATATTGCCAAATAAAATAGGCGATCTTTTTTTCACTGATGATCTGATGACATGATGCAGTTCAGTCAGATTACGCAGCAAGTAAACTAATTTAATTTTCGCTATTTAATCACACACTCACGATGGCAAGCGAAATCGCCCGAATTGATCTACCCCCTAGACAAGTGGCAAAATCTGACATTCTATTCGGACGGGTTCGATTTTCGAAGTGTGACTAGTCTAATCTGCCTTTCAAAAAACTAATTTCTTTTTTACTCTAATGACGAATACATAAATAGTAAATATCTGGTAATGTCGAAATATTGCCAAATAAAATAGGCGATCTTTTTTTCACTGGTGATCTGATGACATGATGCAATTTAGTCAGATTACGCAGCAAGTAAACTAATTTAATTTTCGCTTTTCAATCACACATTCACGATGACAACCGAAATCGCCCGAAGCCCGAATTGTTCTACCCCCTAGACAAGTGGCAAAATCTGACATTCTATTCGGACGGATTCGATTTTCGAAAAGTGTGACTAGTCTAATCTACTAATAGACCCACTGATCGCGTTCGAAGCACCTGTGCGGCGCTAAACTCGTTACGACATGCAACGAAACAATTGGCCAACTATCCGGCCGCCGGATATCCGGCTATCCGGCCTAGCAGCTGGCCGGATATCCGGTATCCGGTATCCGGCCAAACAACTATCCGTTTCATCTCTAATTATTACCACACAAAACAACAATTGCTAATTTTACTACTGTAAATAAAGAAAATAGATAGATTTGTTCACGTTTAAACCGGTAATGGCGGCGGCCGGGTGGCGGGGAGTGGTATAAAAGCACGTGACTCTTTTAACCAATGAACGTGCACCTTGCCTTTGTTGGATGATTTAACGGCAAGACGCCGTAAATTAATCAACTTACTAAAATACATACGTTAAATAGTACATTTCAAATGCCGTTTATTATTTTCCGAGAGTTGATCAACTACCTAGAAAATTGATCAACTTACGAGTCTTGTTATTTTCCGGTGACATATAAGATTAAAAACATTACAGTCACTTACATGAGAAATTAACAAATTTTATGTAGGTAGATAATTTACAAGTTGTCCAATAGCCAGAACAAGCAGATGTACTTCTGCGGGAACCGTCCTGGTTCCCGCTGAAAACCAGCTTCTCGGCATGACGTTTGTGTCATGTCGCGATTTTTGCTGAGCGGGCGCCTATTCAGCATATGTTTTTATTTATTTTTTTATGTTTACTCTTGCTTTGTATACCTTAAATTGTGCTGAATAAAGACATTCTTATTCTTATTCCTAAGCGTCTAAATTGAAACCGCCCTTAGAGATAATATAGCCAGATTCTCTGTGGTTGAGGATTGCTCCTTTTGCGTACAAATAAATGTAGGAATTGAAATTCAGGTTGTATTTCTTCAGCTTTATTTCTATTTTCTCTAGGATAAAAACCACAAAGAATAGGAAAGTCTTATCTGTCTTAATACCAATCGTCTTCTGTTTGAAATCCCGTCGTTCTTACTTCCTCCCTCATTCGTACCGTCTTGCTCACTCCCTTGCGTTCCGTTTCACACTCGCACATAAATTCTATACCCTTTACATAAAGTTCGTTTTCCTCCAGCAAAGACCCGTTGCCGCTTCGTCGCGTGCGACGCTGGGCTTTCAGCCTGCGCGAGCTGTTGCAAGACCCGGCTGGAAGGGAGCACTTCGCCAAGTTCCTGTCCAAGGAGTTTAGCGGGGAGAACCTTAAGTAAGTACTCGTGTTAATCTCGAGATAGGCCTGCCGGTGATGATTATAATATGCAAGAAGCAAGAAAACTCTCCAAAAAAAGGCCAAAACAGTATATTGCTCAAGACATTAACCAAGAACACGAGAAAGTACAAAAGCAACTTCAAAATGTAAAAAAAAACAATATTAAAAAAAAGTAAAAAAATCATAAATATTATCAAAAAAGGATTGCTGGCCAAACTGCCAGCAACAACTCGTTTTAAGACAGTTTTTCTTATAGTATTTAGGCAGCAGAGAAAAGAAAAAGAAAAGAGACAAATCCCACCACCACCCATGGTTCTTGCCTCACGACGTACGAACCAAATCGGAATTGATCGGAAAAGAGAGTGATAAGCTAACGAGACTAGCGACTGAGACAAGCCACAAAGACACTCCCAGACGGGCGACCGTTAGAGCGCTTTCACCATTTAAGCGACTTTAGCAGCGCGACAAACGTGCGAAAAATGCATGACAGACCTGCGATAAACACGCGACAGACGTGCGAAAAACGCGCGACAGGCGTGCGACAAACGCGCGACACACGCGCTGCCGATCGGATGCCTGCCTTTACATTATAAAAACGCCGCTGCCGCGCTGCTGTCGCGCTTCTGACGCTCTAATGTGAAAGGGGTCTTATTAAATTAGGCAATGTGCATTGTGCAAGTATCAGTATGCGAGCGAGTTAGAGACAGAGACAGGAGACGTTCGTGTGCCCGCCATCTTGTGCTTTGGGTTTTATTGCACTTTAAGCTTTGTATTAGCATGAGTTTTTAAGCGAGCGAGACACGAGACTTTTGCAAGACCTTGCACTTCGCCAAGTTTTTGTCTAAAAATTCAGCGGGGAGAAACTCAAGTAAGTACTTATAGGTCTTGGGCAAAACTGAATTAGTGCCTCAGTCAAATAACACTAATACAGTAGAACTCCGATTAACTGAATCGTCAATTATCTGAATCGGTTCTAATATAAAAAATTAAAACCAAGTAATTTTTGATTTATTTTGTTGGAACTCAGATATATTTCAACTGAGCGTTATTGTAGCAGTTCTACAATATCGCTCAATAGAAATATGTCTGTTTGTTAAACTTATTAAAGTTTGTTCTATGTGCGACAGTTCGTTTTTCTCTATTACCAGTCTATGTCCGATTATCCGAATTTTCGAGTATCCGAATCGACCCCGGTCCCAATTAATTCAGATAATCGGCGTTCTACTGTATTATAAAGAAGAAAGATTTGTTTTTTTTTGGTCTGCCCGCGACCATGACTCGTGCAACCGAGCCGAAACGTCGGGAGGGTAAATATTTTATTTACCGTTATAGCCTGACCAGGAACATAAAAACCCTGGCTTAGAGGCGCTTCAATTGCATTTGATAGTGCAACACTGGGTACAGTCGTACCTGTATTAAATTAATAGGCTAACTTTATGTATCAGGATTCAGGATTATAGGCTTATTTAATAATTTCATAAATTAACAAAAACGTATTATATTATAGGTAAACTGGTTTAAATAAATTAAATGAAACCATCAATCGAGCAAGTAGGATTTTATTATTATTCATCAATAATCAAATTCTGAACTTGAATATTCAACTACAATGTCTGCTCATGAACGCTTCAAACTCGGTACTTCTTTCCCAATTCCATAAAATTCAATACTTACAAAGTGACAAAAAACTTTAAAATAGGTAGTTGAAACAAACCACAGCAAATTTTCATAGTTGACTGTACTATACGATAAACATGTCAGTCAATTTGACAACCTTTGTCGGAAACATTATTCAATGAAAATATTGTCCGAACCCTTAGTATTTCTCTTCGACAAATACTTTAACACATTGTGAACCACTTTTCTTTCACGACTATAAAAAGATTTTAGCAATTTAATTCACAAAATCAATTGCGCACATTTAAAATAAAGTTTGTTTACACTTTGACAGCAATAGACTGACATGCAAGGTGACATGTCAATGAAGTTTTCAGTTACTGTTGCCATTAAAAGAAATTAGTACCATTAATTTTCCGCAACATGGCGAGGGTTTTTATGTTCCAGTAGGCCTAAGATGCGCGCCGTGATAACTTTTATCGACGTCAAAATGTATGGGCAAAATCGATAAAATGGCGTGACAACCGCTTATCGCGGCGCGCATCTTAGGCCTACTGGTCAGGCTATAAAATAGATATTGTTGCAATAAATCCCGTGAAGTGATAATTTTAAAGATTTGATTGTTTGTTTGTATTGAATAGGCTCCGAAACTACTGGACCGATTTAGAAAATTCTTTCACTATTGGAATTCTACATTATTTCTGGTGACATAGGCTGAATGTAGTTGGCAGGTGAACTATAAGATCGAATTAGTAGTGACAATGTTAAGTTTGCGATTTTTTAGTTTACGCAATCGATTTATTACTTTTTTCAATAATTAATTTATTGATTTTAAACATCCATAATTTTCCGTTTTAGATTCTGGCTGGCCGTGCAGGAGTTGAAAGCGCTTCCCATCCGTCGCGTCGCGGCGCGCGCGCGCGAGATATGGAAGGAGTTCCTGGCTTCAGACGCGCCGTCGCCCGTCAACATCGACGCCGCTAGCAGGTGCCAGAATGCCCCCTTATGTTGCCAGAATGCCCCCTTAATTTGCCAGAATGTCCTCTTAAATTGCCAGAATGTCCCCTTACTTTGCCAGAATGTCCCCTTACTTTGCCAGAATGTCCTCTTAAATTGACAATGTCGCTTTCACTTGCCAGAATGACTCATTCCCTTGCCACAATTCCTCCTTCCTATGCCTCCCAAAATTACGTTGCCAGAATATCCCTTTACTTTGCCAGAATGTTGCTTTCACTTGCCAGAATGACCCATTCCCTTGCCAGAATATTTCTTAACCTTTCCAAATGTCAACCTTGCTAGAATGTCCCCTTTACTTGTCATTGTCCCCTTGTCTTGCCTGAATGTCCCCTTCCTTTGTCAGAATTCGCCCTTCCCTTATCATAGTGACCACTTCCCTTGTCGGAATGCCCTCTTCCCTTGTCAGTGTCCCCTTTTCTTGCCTGAATGTTCCCTAACCTTGTCATAATAACCCCATTCCTTGCCACATGCTGCATTACCTTGCTAGAATGCCCTTTTCGTAGCCGAATTCGGAGTCGAATGACGGTTACGAGGATGACTTTTACTAATTGGTTTAATTAAAACACAACATGTTTTTTGTTTACAGAGAGCTGACCCGCACCAAAGTCGAATCTGGGACCGCGGATAGATACTGCTTCGACCAAGCGCAGGTAAATATACAGGGTGTGGCGTAAATAGTGGTCCAAAGCATAGGAGTCGATACACTGTACACTGGGGTACCATTATCAGTATTAAAAACATATCTATGGATAGGTCTTCAAAAATGATATCGAGGTTTCTAAAACATTTTTTTTTCTAAACCGAATAGTTTGCGTGACAGACTCTTCCAAAGTGAAAAAAGTTGGTCCCCCCCCTCTAACTTCTAAAATAAGAAAATGAAAAATCTAAAAAAAACATATGATGTACATTACTATAAAAACTACCAACGAAAATTGTTTTGAACGAGATCTAGTAAGTAGTTTTTTTTAATACCTCGTAAATCGTAAACCGTAATCTTTCATACTAATAACTTAAATAAAAAATAATAATTTTAATTTCATAAATCAATGGTACGGAACCCTCGGTGCGCGAGTCCGACTCGCACTTGGCCGGTTTTTTTTTAAATTGGTACCTTGCGTTTCAAAAGACGATGCCGGAAATTGGCGTCTTTTTTTTTCGCGCGGCCATCGACCAAACCTTATTTTTTATTACAAAATAGCGTTTTAAACCAAACTTACTATGACACGTATACCTCTAAACTCAGTCTGAACTGAGTTGCGAGCATTAGAAGTTTGATGATTTTACATACTAGATTAGCCTTTTGCGCGCAAGTTTTGTATGAAATTTCAACAAAACAGTGACGTCCCTGTTTCAAAAACCGGAATAAAAACAATTATTATGTCCTTTCCCGGTACTCAAACTATCTCTATGCCAAATTTCATCAAAATCGGTTCAGTGGTTTAGGCGTGAAAGAGAGACAGACAGAGTTACTTTCGCATTTATAATATTAGTACAGATGACCCACGCTGAACTGTCCCACCAAACTCAATGACAGGGGGGCGCTACCATCGTTCAACTTTATGGTTTCCAACATGGCAAAAATCGGAACCAGCGATCCGGTATTGACGGTGGCGCCCCGCTGTCAATGTCATGCATAGGACAGTTCAGTATTTTGGAACTATATTACCATTTCCTTGTTCTAGGCACACGTATGGCACCTGATGAAGTCCGACAGCTACTCGCGTTACCTTCGCTCGGAAATGTACAAGGAGTACCTCAACGGCTCCAAGAAAAAGGTAAGTCTTAAAAATAACTAGCTAGATAGCACTAGCTATGTTGGAATAGACTATTTGACACCATTCCCCAATGATTAAAAATCACAACTTTTTAAAAAGACACTTCATCCTGGTCTTAAAAACTTAATTTTAAATTACCTGTAAATTGAGATTTTTGGTTGCATTGAAATTTAAAAGTAGTTTAATTGACTTGACAGAATAGTGGTGTCACTTGCTAGTATTGCCATACAAAATCTATGGCAGTCTCGCTTTGACAGTTTTAAAAAGTACGTCAATTGATTGGTGGTGTCAACACTTCTATAGTTCCAAAATACTGAACTGTCCTATGCATGTCATTGACAGTGGGGCGCCACCATCTATACTGGATCGCTGGTTCCGATTTTTGCCATGTTGGAAACCATTATGGTTGAACGATGGTAGCGCCCCCCTGTTATTGAGTTTGGTGGGACAGTTCAGCTTGGGTCATCTATATTCTTAACATTTGTCAATAACAAATAAAATATTGTTCCAGACATCTGTCAAAGGCATACGATCAATCGTCTCGTTCACCGCTAGAAAAGAAACGTCTAGCAACTAAAGAACAACAGGTAAACGGAAGACAGAAGAACAGAAAGAAGTAAGGCAAGCTAACGCCCTAATATACCAAAGAACGTGACCGCGTGAAGAGTACCGGTAAATCTGGATACCGGTACGAAACCGGTTTGGCTATATAACGGTATTATTTAACTGATTTCAGTTGAAATCTTGATACCGGTACGTAACCGGTTTGATTTTAGTTAACGTTATTGATATTATGTTATATTGCGTTCCAAAGTAAATAAAATGTACCGGTAAATGTTTGTTTCGACAGAGCTTAGATAACTATTTAATTATTCTATTTTTAGTCAGTTTTTTGTAATTTTTAGGAACCTCAAATGAAATCCGTCTTTTATTTCTTTATTAACCATACAATTATTAATAATTAGTTTTATTTAACTTTTGTAATACCGTTTTTTTTGTATTTTGAAACAAATTGCACGTATTCCTTGCTTATCTTAGATTTCGTTGTAAATTTCATTTATTTCATTAATTTATGAAGTGGTGGGGAGTGTAGATCTCTTAGACTGCCGGTAAATAACGGTATTTCGTTTTCGACGACCGGTAAATACCGATATTTTACCGGTCGCCGAAAAAAATATGTAATCGGTAAATATTAGAATCGTATTTAAATAAAAATAACATAGAGAATGCAATATTCGTTAGTAAGTTTGTATGTATATTACTATCATAGTATGATTATTTTTGTTAGAAGTACCTTCTATCTAATATCTATAGTCTTCTATAGTTCCCTATGACATGTAAACAATTTTAGACTTTATTGCATTTGACTTTAGGATGTGTTTTCAATTTACGTTATCAGAAAGTCAGATTAAAGTTTTGTTTCAATTTGCTTACACTAATATTATAAAGAGGAAAACTTTGTTTGTTTGTTTGGTTGTAATGAATAGGCTCAAAAACTGCTGGACCGTTTTTAAAAATTCTTTCACCATTGGAAAGCCAAATTGTCTACACGGGCGAAGCCGCGGGCGGAAAGCTAGTATCTTATAAAATGAAGTCTTCATAACATTTTTGGCATTAAATAGGCTAGTTGCCTAAAAAAATTTTTTTAGTCCGTAATGTTTAATATCAAAAAATATTGGACACATATATTTTTATTTGTCAATCTAACAAATAATTACATAGTTATGGTGCGTTGAAGTTGCGCACGACGTCACAACGTGCGGCATTTTTAAGCAAGCGTTGACGTCACGGGCCTCTTCTTATGAACTTTGGGGCGCTTTATCTCTTTAAATTTTCATTAGTTTGAAAAAGTGAAAAATACGTGTAGAGTATTTTTTGATAAGTTAACTGACGGACTAATTAAAACTCTTGCTTTTTGACCCAGGCAACATCCCCATTACCTATTTCTATACTACATTTAATAATATAGAAAAAGACGTTGCCCTGCTATTCAAACTATACTTACGGGCAAAAGTATGTATTCACCCCTTTGTGTTCTGAGCGGTCTTAAGAACCCCCCTTACTAATAAAAAGTTACACAGTTGTTGAACACAGTTTTAAAATGACTTTTTCATACTAAACGTCACTATAAAACACTGTTCAACGAGCGTGTAAGTTTTATTAGTAAGGGGGTAAATGACTATGTATTGTATGTACTATGGTATCAATTTTAAGTTTATTATATCACCTTTAAAATGGTACGCGAGTGTATTATTAAAAAAAACATTTTAAGTTCGTAAAAAGTACCAAATGTGTGTCCGTAAATGTAGAATTTTTAATCTGACTTTTTGATTAAAAAACACCGGTATAATACCGGTATGACTGTAGCAATATTATAGTTTGAAACGTAAGAATCAATCAATGCACGTTCTTATTATAAATTAATTTAGGTGTCAATTTTGTAGATCTTTTTTATTATTTTTTTTTTAATATTTTTTCTTTTAAGTACACGTAATTTCTGAATATTTTCGCGTCCGTCTATTAATAATTGTGAAATTAAACCTTGTGTCTGAATGTATGGGGTTATAGATTTATTAATAATAGCTTTAATTAATAACACCTAGATGGATAGTCTTCATAAAAGCCCTTCATCTAAAGTAAGGCAAAAATCATGTCATCCAATGTCACACTGAAGTGTCCCAGATATGACATTGACAGGAGGGCGCTACTATGAACACTGGGTTATTAGTTCCGATTTTTGCCATGTTGGACAACACTGAAGTTTCCTAGAAATGTCATGACATTGACTGGAGGACGCTGTGGCGACATCTATCGACACGTCACTACAGTCATTACCCAACAAATGGCTCTGACACCTGTTAGGTACCTTACTATGGTATAGATGACCCACGCTGAACTGTCCCACCAAACTCAATGACAGGGGGGCGCTACCATCGTTCAACTATATGGTTTCCAACATGGCAAAAATCGGAACCAGCGATCCGGTATTGACGGTGGCGCCCCACTGTCAATGTCATGGATAGGACAGTTCAGTATTTTGGAACTATACACGCCTCCGCGCCTATAAACCTGTATCGCGGTGAGGCTCTATCCATCTAGGTTTTATTAATCTAAGTATAATAGCTTTATTTTGTATAAGCGGAAACTTAATTTGACGTATGATTCTCTCTGCGTAAACCACCGATTCTTTTAAGTATAAGTTGTCACTCATTAATTTTATCAAATCAAGTTTAAAAAAGAAATGACATTTTTAAAAGCCGTGTTTTAACTCGGGTGCGAATCGAAACGGGGGTGGGACTACCCACCGTATTTGTACTGACGAGTTGGCGCCACTGGCCAGTGACACGTCCTTACTTGATAGTGGCGCCAAATGTTAAGTGCAAATGCGGTAGCCTTCATTCAATGAGGGCTATCGTTTTAGCGCTCACCAGTTAGCGCCACTGTAGAGTAAGGTCCTGTCACTTGCTAGTAGCGAAGACAGTGGCGCCAACTGGTGAGCGCTAAAGTGGTAGGAGGACTATCGCATTTGCACTCATCAAGATGGCGCCACTGTAGAGTAAGGTTCTGTCAGTCGCCAGGGGTGCCAACTGTTGAGTATAAAAACGATAGCCCTCATTAGCTGGATTTATATTCTGTCTATTATAGTCTGTCGTGTTGTGTCGTGATGCACCAGAACGTAATCGGTTTTTTTTTAGGGTTCCGTAGCCAAATGGCAAAAAACGGAACCCTTATTTAAATAATGAGTGACAAACTTCATACAAATCGTACAAACCAGCCAAATGTATAACTAAACTGTTTTAAAATAAGTATCAATGATATTTAATCTCTCTCTACGTTAAGTCGGATCTCTCTTTCTGTTATATGTAATTTGCACTTCTATAGTCAAGGACAAAAAACTTAATTGGAAAGTAAAAAAGAAAGTTTTAGCGCTTATTAGTTGGCGCCACTGTAGTTTAACTGTCACTGGCTAAGAAAAGGGCGCGAACTGGTGAGCGCTGAAGTTCCGAATAGGCTATCAGGGACTTACTAAAGCCCGGTCTGTGACCACGTAGAATTTTGTCCAATGACCCCAAGCTACCCATCCTTATCGCTCGCGCGTAATTATATTGCTGTCGCGACTGTGCGACGGGCGCCCGCAGTGAGTGTGCGAGTGCGACAGCAACATAATTACGCGCGAGCGATAAAGATGTAGCTTGGGGTCATTGGACAAAATTCTACGTGCTCGGCGACCGTACTAGATAACTATCAGAGAGCTGTAGCTTATCTAACAAGTTCTCTCTCTTTCTCTCTGATAAGTTCCGAATAAGCTATCAGAGACTTTACTAGCAAGAAGTGAAACTGCCCTATTTCTTTTTTATAGTTTTATGTGCTGTCGATTATAAAAATAAACTCACTCTGTTTAATATTTAGCGTTTACTTTTAAAGGAATTAGATCTTTGTACAGTGCGTAAAAATGTATTATTTAGATTGATTTTATACATAAGATTTAGAGCCTATTTTACCTGCCCCTGATAAAGTGTCTGATAGCTATCTGTCGGTAACGCTATATCTAAAAAAAATATTACTTTAACCGTCAGATATTTTTAAGACTAGAACTAAAGGTTATAGTTTATCTGTCAGATAAGTTCCTGATAGCCTATCTGCCACTTATCTGACAGATAAGTCCCTGATAGCCTATCCGGAACTTTATCAGCATGCGGGAAAATAGGCTTTCCTGATTTCAATAAATTGTGAGCGCCATATCGTGGTAATGTGTCAAAATTGTTTGTATACTTTGTGAAAACGGCTGGACCGTTTTTGATGATGCAATCATTGGTGTGTTTTATGGTTTATTGTTGCTGAAAATTACACTGTCGTTCTATTTTATCATTTGTATTGTAGAAGTGTAGTGGTAACTCAAATGTGTCCCTCTGGGAATTGAACCCACGACCTCCAGACGACGGAGTGACGACTTTAGATCTAGCGCATAACTCAGTGCCTGGGGTATGGGAGGGGTGACATAAGGGGGCGTCCATTAATTACGTGAGACGTTTGAGAGAGGGGGTCAAGAAAAACCTCACTAAATCTCACGTAGGGGATTCTCGATAAATATCACGTAATTTTTTTCAGCAAGAAAAAGGGTCACATTGCGGGAAAACGTTATAATATGCCCTGCAGCCATCTAAATTCGTTCACCAACTTTGTTCATAGGTTCGAAGTTGGAGCTAAACCGTCTAAACAGTAAAGAAATTGTAAGAAACGATTTTTATTTATATTAAATCCTAATCGAAGCTAACTCTTACATTGCAAATATGTATTTTAAGAAATCTCACGTGAGATTGTGGGGAGGGGGTCTGGAAAAATCTCACCAAATCTCACCAACGGGGGCGGGGGGGTTGAAAATTTGCCAAAATTGTCTCATGTAATTAATGGACGCCCCCTAAAACGTGACAGAGCGTACAAGTCTAAAGCACATGTCATGCTGACTTTTAACGTAACAAAAAGTACAAAATCACCTCCAACGCTCCATTATCGCAGGAACCTACTCGTTATGCGCTACCTATAGTTTTAATAGATCTAATTTTGACAAAAATATACAGGGTGTCCCAAAAAGTAGTGTCAAGCCGAAGCCCAGAGGTAGAGCATCACTAGGGCTACCCAAATCACCGTGACTTTATAGTTTTCAAGTTATGATTTTTTTTACAACACACAGAATTTTAGTTTACATTCGTGTTATGGATGTAAATACTTCTGAATCAGCTAGGCCTAGTATTCATCTAATAATAATAATAA